AGGCAATTTGGCAGTGTATATCAAGATCGTCACAAATATTCCTACTCTTTGATCTATTATTTCCTTAGAAAACAATCAGAGATATGTAAAATTATGGTGTACAAAAATAGATAGGATTTTGTGTACAATATTATTACATTATTGTTACCATTACCAAAAGACCATAATGTAAATATCCAAAAATTAAAAAGCAGTTAAATAATATGGTTGCCATAGAATATACATTATACAACTATTAAAATCCTATTTTCAAAAAATACATAATAACAGGTAAAATGTCAAAATACAGCATATCGTTAATTTTAAATAAAAAGGTTCGGATATGGAATTATATATATAATATGATCTCATGTATACATATATATGTATATGTTAATAACAAAAAAGGCTAAAAACATATTGAAATATATGCAATGATTATTTCAATGATAATTTCAAGGGGATAATTTTAAGTGTTCCTTCCTATATACTTTGTTATGTATTTTTACATATTTAGGATATTAATCCTTTATAATATTTCTGCAATATATCACATTTATGCACTTATGTAAAATTATATATGTATGTATATAAATGGAAATTAAATATAACATTTTTAACATAAAAGTAGTTACAGAGATACCCCAATTCTTACAAAATAATTTTTCAGAGTTTATTTTTTGTGTCTTTATTTTGTTTTAGATGGAGAAGTTTATCAGTTTACATGGATAATTTTTCATGTTGCAAAAATAAAATCACCATGCTAAGAGTTTAACAAAGTGTTATTAAATGCTTCAGCAATCATGTGGAATCAGAGGCCCAAGTTTCCAAATAGTTCAAATGGTTTATACAATGGCAATTTTAGACACAAAAAAAAGAAAAAAATTTTGAACGGAGTTTTCCACAAGAACTAAATATTTTAATCATAGCTTTACGTTATTGACTTAGTGTCTTAGGGTTTAAAAAAGAGTTCCTTCACAAGGGAGCAGAAACAAAATTTGTTTGCCTATATTTACATTTCATCAGCCTCTCTGGGGGCTTTGCTCTAACATATAGGGTGTCCCAGAAAAATGTATACACACACTTTGAATAATTATAAAGGCGGTGTTTATTAAAATACATTTCAAAATTGAGCTATCAGCTGTTAAAGTGTACATACATTTTGGGGGGACACCCTGTATAAGCACAATCACAGGACTCAAGGACACAGCCACTCAGCTCTTCAGCACCTACAGGGTAAATTCTAAACTCCCGAGTTTGTCTACAAAGATACAAGACCCTTTGGGGTCTGGCCTCTACTCACCTGTACAGCCTCATCTCTAATTATCAACCCTCCTGTTCCTGCCACTCTACCCTACTTGCTACAGGGATGGGCATTCACCGAGTGGAAACAAGCTTCACCCACTCTATGGGGAGTAATTCCTACAGGGTCACAGGACTCCCTTCAGATGTCACCTCTTCTAGGAAGTCTTCCTTTCCTCCTTCCCCATAGGCTGCTGCAAGCTCTCCTCTGGACTGCCACAGCATCTTCACTTTCCTCTATAACTGCACTTAGCACACTTCATCTTGAAAGCCTGTATACTTATTCTAATTCCCTTGGAGAATGTCTGAGAAGGCAGAGGTTTTTTCCTGTTTTGCTCATTGCTATATGCCCAGTGTCTAGAAAAGTTCGTGGAAGGCACCCAATAAATGTTTGAAAGCTTGTATGACTGACTGACAGAATAAATGATTGAATGAATGATTGAACAAATTTAGCAGATAACCTGAGCATCTAAAACACAAGGTGACTGCCAAGGGGCAGAAGAGATGCCAGAAGAGGCAGGAGGCAGAGAAGGATGGAGGTGTATGGACACCTCAAACAGCAGCTGCTTGGAAAGGTGGAAAGAGCACAGACTCTAGTCACACACACTGCTGTAGGACTCTGAGACAATTCCTTACCTTGTACCTATAAAATGGGTTACTATGCTCCTTCAGTTGTTGTGAGAATTACTTGAATCATAAATACATAAATACACACACAGTGCTTTGTGGGTAGTAGGCATTCAGTAAATGTTGGACTTTTTTTCTTATCCCCTTATGTTACAGTTTGGTTTACTTAGCTCTATAACTACAAAAAGCTGATCACAAATTTAAGGAAAAAATGTATGGGGAAAAAAATACTTTTACTTTCATTTTTTAAAAGATAAACCATGCTAGAAAAGCAAAAAGGAAGATGTCCAAACTCTTACAAATTCAGACCCCATGACCATAGGAGATGTGGGTGTGAAGCTCACACGGAAGTAATGGGCCCCAGAGAGGGTTATTCAGGGGTGAGTTTTGTACGGCACAGAATCTCACATATTTTAATGGTGGGACAGAGAGTTATTCTCAGAGCAAGGAAAACCTTCTGTCTTATGGATTTCATTGCCCTTTCTATTGGTGAGACAAACACAAAGGATATATTAAATTCTGTCTTAGAGCCATTTGGCTAAATCTGTGGATGTCTAGGACCAAAAATACATTCATTGATTTGGGGATTAAGATCTATTTATATGCTTTTCAAACAGATATTTTGTTCACCTTGAAGCACTTGCGCTTGTGTTAGTCTGGATGGCCAGGGACACTGGTCTTACTACACAACATAGACTCCTTGAGATCATTAGATCAGCAAGTGGCATCACTGGCCATGACCAGCCTTGCCTGGTGAGCTGACTCACTCAGGGATGTCGAATTGAGGGTTTTTAGAGAAGGCTACTGGATTTACAAGGCTCACTCAGGGCTTCCTGGCAGAGCAATGAACCTCCCCTCAGCAGAAGAGATTTTTGCAGAAAAATGAGGGAAATAAGTCATGAAACTAGAACAGCTAGAATAAATATTCCCTCTGCCAGTAGCATAGAGATTCTGTAAACTAATTTAACACGCACAAGCTTTTATTGCCTCCACAAAATCTCATGGTTCCCATATCTGGTGGCAACACAATAAATCTCCACTCAAATAGTCATTGTCTTTGAATTATACAGCTTACCTACCATTGTACTGCATTATCAGCCAGGTGGAATTTTGTCAGTTTTTTTACTTGTTGTATTTTGTTTGTTTTGGACTTTGTTTGCACATGTGAATATGTGTTACTATATACAAAGGTGAATTCACTTCCCTAGTGTGTATTTTTCCCTTCAGCATTTTATTTCACTGTAAATTATCAAAGTTACTGTATTTTAATGCATCACTCTTCTAATTTGGTTAGTCAATATGTTCGACCAATATTAACCAAAGCCAGATAAAGAGCAGTGGGTGTTGGAGGCAGGAAACACAGCTAAAGGAGGTGGGGATTCAACCACAGTAGCTTGGCTACAAGTAGGTGTCTGGGGAGAGGCTGTTTGTTCAGAGGTGGGAGAGAGAGAGAGGTCATCACAGGGAACCAGAGAAGGGAAACAGAGCCTGGCTGACAGGTGGAGGAGGAGGAGTAGCCAGGTATAAACACAAGGTAGGAGTGACAGCAAATTGCTGCTTGGCACCTGAGGGGAGACTGCCTGGTAGGATGTGGTTGGGCCTTGGGGGATATGCTGATGGTAATTAGCACCTGAGCAAGTTGTTGTGAAAGGAGAAAGCTCCTCCAGCACTGCGACAATGTAAAAAATTCATACATGCATGAAATCTAAGACACTGAGAGATGGTTGGATGGGTGGATGGATGGATGGATGGGCAGACAGATAGGAAAATAGATTGTTTATAGGAATACAGTAGCAATTTTGGGAACACCAAAGAGGTCCCTGACCAAAATTATGGTCACCGTAGGCCTTCAGGGATGCCATCTATAGAAATTCTTTCCTGAGTTGTTCAGTGTGTGGTCCTTGGTTCTCTGGATCAAAATGAGCTTGTTTAGAAATGCATGGGAGTGGGGCCTAAGAATCTACAGTTTGAGAAGCTCTCCTGGTAAGTATTACACATACTAATGTTTGAAATGCCTGGAATCAGGCATCATCCTTTGTCAGGTATAAGGTCCATACTGAATTTATCAGGTCCTTCCTAATAGACAATTGTCTAAAATTTAGACAGGAAGAGAATCAGACAATAAATATTTGGTGGTGGAGAGAAAGGCCTTTTTAAGTGTCAGTAGAGGGTCCTAAGCAGTAAGAAGCTCTGGAAGTGCCCTCAGGGTTGTTATTGGAAGAAAAGTCAAACCACCATGAGTGCCATTCAGGCATTAGGGACTAATATATTTATCAGGGTTCATATTAAAAGCCCACTCCTTCACAATCCATGGCACCTTCATCCACCTAATTCCAGAGAGAAGTCATCTGTACTTCTGAACTCTCCTGTAGAATTTGTCTACACACCTGTATGGACTTCATGTATTCATTCATTTAATAAATACTTATTGAGCACTTACCATGTGCCAGACACTGTTATAGGCATTGGGGCAGAGCAGTGAACAAAAGAGACAAATATGTCTGCCCTATGGAACTTAGATTCTAGCAGGAGAAACATTTAGTAAGAAAAGTAAATGCATATTAGACAGATAAATGTTAAGGTGGAAATATAGTAGAAAATAGTAATAGAAAGTGTGTGTATACAAAAGGAAACTGTAATTTTAGATAGCCCTCAAGGCCTTTTTGGGAAAGTGATGTTTAAAAAAAGGAAGCAAGGAAGTGAGCAAAGGGAATATCCAGGGAAAGTGCATTTAAGCAGAGGCAATGGCAAGATTAAAGGCCCTGAGGCAAGGGCCTGCCAGGATGTTCCAGGAGTACCAAGGTGGCCTTTGTGGCTAGAGGAGAGTAGACAAGGGAGAGACCTAGGAGGTGAGGTCAGATGGCTCTGAGCGGACCACATCACCTGGACCTCAGTGAGCTTTTGTAGATTTTACAAAGGCTTCGTTCTTAACAAGAAACTATTGAAGAATTTTGAGCTGAAACAAGTGTTATGGCGACTATTAACTTTGACAACATCATTGGCTATTTTGTTGAAAATAACTGATGGGGGAAAAGTTTGACAGAAGAAAGAGTAGTTTTCAAAAGCCATTGCAATAATCCAAGGGAGAAATAATGGTAGCTTGGGCCAGTGTGGCAGCAAAGAAGGTAGAGAAAGATAACCCACTTGGATGTGTTTTGAAGGTTTGGCTAACAGGTAAGGTATGAGAGAACACAAGGAGTGAGAAAGAATTCCAAGGTTTGGGGCCTGAGCAACTGGAAAAAGGCTGTTGTCGTTTACTGCAATGGGAAAGGCTGTGTGGAGAACAGCTTTGGGAGTAAGGGGTTTGAGGGACCATCAATTTATAGCCATTAGATTGGATGAGATTATCAAGGTAATGATTGTAGAAGTCCTAGAACTGAGCTCCGGCACACTTAAACACTCGGAGGTAGATTGCCCAGGGCTGAGGGTTCCCAGGACACAGGACTTCTGAGAAAACTTCAAGCTAATTGAGATGACCAATCACCTGCTCAGAGGTCAGGGAGATGAATGAAAAACCCATGAAAAAGGAATAGCAGAGCGGTGGGAGACATGTTGCCCTGGAAGTCAAGTAAAGAACAAATTTCACATTCATTATATAGTTAATATTTCATTTATTAATTTTGGTGTTTGCTTAAAACTGCCAAAATCCCGCTTTGTACAAATTAATTTTACAATGGTCAGTCAAGTTCTACTCAATGAACTGCTAACTGAAACCTCAAAACTATACTGTTCCGATATTATTTTGTTATTACCATTTACAAATGTATTGATTTTATGTTATGTCTTGAAAAATTACATGCATTATTTGGAATATGTTTCAATCTTTGAAGAAATACACAAGAGAAGTCCTGTGCAGAGTGCTCTGACCTTCTGTGAAGTATTATAATGCAATGATATATACAGAAGGGGCATGTTACTGCATTGTTTACATAGTTGTAGGTGTTTCATTTGTTAATCATAATTGTGCTAAAAACAATGTTTCACATCTGTATTGTGTATACCTTTCTAGGTGTGTTCAGAAACTTCACTCCACTTTTAAGCAATTCAAGGTGAATTGAAACCCTAGAACTACACTCTTCTACACAGTCTTTGCTATCAGCATGTACAAATGTATTAAATGAATGTATGTCATAAACTAAGTCATGCATTAACTATCTGGAACATATTGAAATAAATCTTTGATCAGACACAGGTGAAAAGAACAAGTTTCAAGTAGAAGATGGCTCTCAACTCTATCAAATGCTGTTGAAGGGGCAGTAAGGTATGGGCTGATCATTGGCCACTGGATTTAGCAATAGAAGGGTCACAGGGGACCTTGCCAAGAGCAGTTTTAGTGAATGGAGCAAGAGACAGAAGGCCTGATTTTAGTGATTGAAGATTATTTTAGTGAGCTCAGGATGCTCTAACAAAATACTATAGACCGTGTCACTTAAACAACAGAAATTTATTTCTCACAATTCTGGAGGCTGCAAAGTCCAAGATCAAAGTACCAACAGAGCCAGTTCTTGGTGAGAGCCCTCTTTATGGTTTAGAGACAACTGTCATCCTACTGTGTCCTCACACTTTCTCCAGTGTGTGTGTATGTGTGTGTGTGAGAGAGAGAGAGAGAGAGGTGGGGGGAGAGAGAGAGATTAAGATTGTTTCTTCTTCTTATAAGGACACAAGTCCTCAATCCTATAAAATTAGGACACCCCACTCCTGAGACCTCACTTAACCTTAATTACCTCCTAAAGATCCTGTCTCCAAGTACAGCAACACTCAGGGTTAGGGCTTCAACATATGAATTTGGGGCAGGACAGTTCAGATGATAGCAGAGAGAAACTGGGAAGAGCAAAATACAAACAGCACTCTCAGGGAGTTTTCCTGTGCAGAAAAGGGAAAAAGTGAGTGGTAGCCGAAGGGTATATAGGATCAAAAGAAGGTTGTTTATTTGCTTTAAGGTGGGTAGAGGGAAAAGGTATGTTTGTGTGGTGATGGGAATAATCTTGTAAAGAGGGAATGGGGTCCTTGATTAGGTAAGAGGGAGTAGGACCTAAGGACATCTGGAAAGGACCTGAACAAAGAGCAGAGATGGTTCATTTGCTGAAACAGGAGAGGAGGCAGAATTTATGAACACAAATCCACATAGGTCTGTAGATGTGGGTGGGCTTATAAAAATTGCCTTGTGATCACTTCTATTTTCTTGGTGAAATATAAAGGAAAGGTCATACGTTTACAGTGATGATAAGAGAGGAGCTGATGCAGTTTGAAGTCAGAGGAAAATGTAGGAGAGTCCTCTAGGAGAGTAGGAGAGTGATGGACCAGGGAAATGAAATATAATTGCCAGGGAGCATTAAAGACCCACTTAGCATTGAGCAGCCCTTTAGAATGGAAGTCAAGCACTCACGCTTTAGCAGAATTCAGCATGGTGCATCCCAGGAGGGAAGGCGTACAAGGGAGGATCGGAAGACTTGGGGTCTGATGAGGTTTTCACCATTTACTTATGGAGTCACTTAACTTCTCTGAACTGCCTTGTATTTTTATCTGTAAAATCAGGATATTCACATCTATACTACCTTCCTCAGAAAAATCATGAGGTGGAACATGAGGGATATAACCTAAAATGTCAAATGCTAAACACACAAAGCTTACTTGGAAACTAGAACAGATACAATTAAAACAGCATAAGAAAAGGTGCAGGGCCCTCCCTATGGAATTCCCAGGTCCAAATGAGGTCTCTCCAGAAAGGATGGCCTAAGGCCATTTGGGACAACAAGTGGGAGGTGACATAAAAGAAAAAGAGAAAGAAAAGGAAGTTTGAAGAGGATACACTGCCAACTACAGGCTGCTGTGGCCCAGGGCTGGCTGAGACCAGTTCAGCTGACACAATGCTGGTGGCGCCTGCCACTGGCGGATATGCACTCTTTCTGTGAGTTAGAAATGGGCACCCCCCATGCCCAGTCAGCATCGACCTAGGATCCAGGAGATCGGGGTTCGATTCCCGGTCAGGGCACATGCCTGGGTTGCAGGCTTGATCCCCAGTAGGGGGCGTGCAGGAGGCAGCCAATCAATGACTTTCTCATCATTGATGTTTCTATCCCTCTCACCCTTTCCCTTCCTCTCTTTGAAATCAATAAAAACATATTTAAAGAAAAGAAAAAGAAATGGACGCCCCTTTCTCAAGACCCTTTACTTCCACTTGTCAAAAAAATTGTCTTGATATACCTTTCTTAGAATAAAATATTTTCTTGATATATGCCTGAAAAATTGTTAAAACAAATGTAAAAATCTACCATGTTATTGTGTTAATGGTGCCCCCTAGGGTTGTGCAGTGCACAATACCACACAGCAGTTATGTCTTGGTTGACCTTTGACACTAACCAACCCCTTACTCAATACCACCTCATGATGATGACTTCTTCATGCCTATACTTAAAATAATTTCAAAATATAATGTTTTTAGAATTGAAATTGAACATTATTGGGTTTGTTTGCTTTAGGCTATATATGTACTCTTGGTAGGCCTGGATTAGAAACCATCTTTGCAGATCACTGACTTCCAGGAAGGATTTTACATATACATTTGAGCAGGTGGGAATTCAACGGTACATATATATTATGTGCACTGTTCTGTTAAAAACTAAGCTGCTGTTTAGAGAACAAACAAGTTAGACCTGTTTTATTCGGGTCCATTTTTCTAGCCAAATCATATGGTTTAGAAGCTGAATTTCAGGAAAGAATCTCAAAACATTGTTTAGCCAGGTCAAATCCAGTTTTCCTTTCTCACACAAACCCTGTATCTAGTTCTTGGATAATTGCCACCTTGTGAAATAATCACTAATAATGCATCCGGCTTAGGGGCTTCCTGGCTTGGTACTCAGCTAAGAACTTTACGTGTACTATTGCATTTAATCCTATCAACCACCTTATGAGGACACTGTTATTACCTCACTTTACAAATGAGAAAACTGAAACTTGAAGGTAATCTTGCCCAAAGTAAATACCAGTAGGTCAAGGTCCTTACCCACTCTCTTGGTATCCATAGCTACCTGTCCTGTCACTGGGGTGTCAGCCTCTCTTGACACTTGATAAAATGATGATTAGGATGATGTAATGGGCCTTTCGTACTGTGTAAAGAACCATTAAATACTATATCTCTAAGTTTTAAGGGCTTAGCTTAATGCTAGAAGACATACCATTGAAGCCAAGACTTACGGGTGGTATTTATCTGTGGGATAAAAGCTTGTTATTCAGCATCCTAATATCATATGTCCTCAGAGCAAGGCAAACAGAGCATCATAATGTGAAAGTAACTCAGACAACAGTATCATTTCTGTATATGTAAGGGCAAAGTAGTATTAGCAAAATATGCAAATTCCAATTTTAAAAGTATTTAAAATGTTTTTAAAGAAAAATATTTTAGAGCTGAAATAATTCACATCTTTTTTGGTCAATAACTGAACAAAATTTCCCATACAATGCCAAAATTCAATATTTTATTTATTTAAAGCCCCGTCCCACCTCACCTGTCATTGCTGCATTCTTTTAGAAACTCCCTCTAGTGGCCTAGAAGTGTTGGCTTCCTTAATTAGCACATTAAAGGAAGATTTGGGAGTACAGCAGCAATTCATTCTCTTTTTCTCTTTTTTCTTAAGCCCCTCTAGGCTCTTTTTTATTTATTTATTTTTTCAGTTAGTTGACATTCAATATTATTTTATATTAGTTTCAGATATATATAGTTGTTAGATAATTATATAATTTACAAAGTGATTCCACCCCACTCCCGATAATTCAAGTACTCACTTGGAATCATACCTAGTTATTTCAATATTATTGACTATATTCCTTATGCTGAACTTTGCATCCCGTGACAATTTTGTAACTACCAATCTTCCTTGTCTACTTTGATGGAAACTAGTCTTTTACCAAACTGTGAAAGTGAAATCAGAAGACGGGTATGATATATCAATTTTTAAATGGCCACATCTCACCCAGTGAGACAAAGAGGTCAAGGACCTAGTGATTTTTATGACAATGAACATTAAGAAAGACCCTTCAAGTTCCTAAATTTCAGGAATTTAGCAACTTTAAGTATTAGGTCCAACCCCATTGACATCACAGATTCTCCCTGCAGTCACAATGCTGCTGAGCCAGCCTGGAAGATACCCCAGACATATAAAGACTTTAGTCAGGATTCAATCAATATTCCTTAGTACTCTGGCTTTCAAAGAAAGAAAAAAATTTAAAGTCTCTGTTCCCTTTCAAAAAAATCAAATCAACAAAAAACAAAGACAGGAAATCAAGCGTCATGAGTTCAGGTATTTATCTCATGGATTATTCAAGATCTCTGAATTTCTTATACTTTACTATCTGACTTATATTTTATATTACATATAAACAAGGTAATATATCCCAAAGAAAACCGTTGGATGGCTTGGGCACAATAGGGTGAGAAACCATTTTTTATTATTTTAGAACAGTTTGATCTAAATGAATGCATTTCAACAAAGTTGTTTAAATGTATAATGGAAGTACTGAGATGATAAACTCTTCTAGCTGACTATAGGTGTGATTGGGAGGTCTTGGGTGGGGGTATTGGGGTAGGTAAGCAGGGAAGAGGGGAGTGTAAAACAAATTGGAATGCTCCCTTTAACCATTGGCATATGTACAGTAATACTGTGGACAACTAAAACAATTACTACTGCAGAAACTCACGTGCCATAGTTCCTGATCTGATTCAGCATTCTGGTTGCCTAGATACAGATATAAACAGAAGTGCCTCCTGGACTGCAGAGGAACAGCCAGATGAACCTGATGGCCCCCTTCCTGGCTCAGCCAATGACCAAGAAAACAAAGTACGTACTTTTAGCTATTCTTATTAAAAACAGAATATTTTGTTCAGCTTCTTTAAAGCTCAGCATTGCTTAGAGAGTTCTAAGGAATCCTGGAAAAGTTGTTTTTCTTTTCACTCTACTCACATTTCCTGTTCTTTTCTGCTTTGACAAAGTGACTAATGACAACACAAGCTGAAAAGCAAGAGGCTCAATTTGTGAATATATTCATTGGACTGACTTTTAATACATATGGCTTAAAATTAACAAAAAATTTATAATTTCTTTTTTATTAAGGTACAAAAGAAACTATGATAAAGTCAAGGTATAGATGTTATCTCTAACATGAGAAAGAAAGCAACTAAATGGAATGTTTCTTTAATTGGTACTTGACATATGTTCCCCATTAATGAAAACATTCAAAGGAGTGTTTTTAGGCTTTGCTTTGTAATTCTCATAGCACCTAACCAGCAGATGCAGCTTCTTGTGATGGAAAGAGCACTGGAAAGCCAGCACAATATCAAGCACTGATATTTTCTATCTATTGGCTGTACCACACACTAGCTGTGTGACTTTCAGCAATTTCTTAACCTCTGTTTCTTTTTCTGTGAAATGGGCTAATTAAGCCTATCATTCAAAGAAGTGAGGCTAGAATGGGCCACTAAGGTAAAGAGCTTAGCAAGTAGGAAGGACTCCATCAATAGCTATAATGTAATTATTATCATTATCTATATGATCTTAAACAAGTCCATTACTTCTCTGCTTCTCAGGTTCCTCACCTATAAAAATAATCATCTTAATTTTTTCTGTATTAAAGAAGGATTTCAGTTACTTATGGTGACTAATGTTATTCTTTTGATAAAATGATTTCTACCTTATAGGACTGTTGGAAGAATAAAAATCACATCATATATGCGAATGTATTTTATAGGCAATTAAACCATAAGGACCACAGTGTTTTCAAGTATTATTATGAAACAGGTGAAAACTGGTGCATGTAAAAATTCCCATAATAAGCATCAAATTGTGAGAATTTTTATATAATTACATTCTAGCTTATAGGAATAGGATGAAACAGAGCTAACTCATATGTGCAGTTAGCAAAGATATAAAGTTTACTGTCTTAAATACATTAAAAAAATTGCATAGAAAAAAGAGGAAATATATATGCCACAATGTTAACAACTTTTGCTCTAGGTAGTAAAATTATAAGTGAAAACAATTTTTTCTCTGCATCTTTTAGTTTTCTATTTTTTTAAAAATTTTCCTCCTTTATGAGATTTAACATTTGTTACTTCAAAAGTATGTGAGTTGTAGGTGTGTCAAGAGGATGCTGCTTATGGTTTTCCAAATAAGATTTAAAAATTAATAAATTAAAAATAAAACATATATAGCCAATTGTTTCACTTGGGAAGAAAAAAATAAGACAATAACCCAGTAATTTAGTGTCCTTGGACAAAATATTCATCATTACTCTCTCTTTCCATAAACACTTACAAAGGGCTACTAGGAGCCAGATATATAAGGCTGGGGACCAGCGAGTTGCTGAGGAAATCAGACTCCCACAGGCCAGGGCAGCAGTGGAGAGGTGAGAAGGAAAGAATTGGCTTTAGTAGATGAAGAGCCCAGGGCCAGCCCTGTTTCAGCAGAAAGCTGGGCTGAAAACAGAACCAGAGCAGGCCAGTCATGGTCTCTAGGGAGTTAGTGGTTTTTTTTCACAGCATGGACCTGGGCACCCCGTGGGTCATTACATTCCATCTTTAGGGGAAGACCAGGCTTCAGAGCAGTGGATCCATGGCAGACCCCACTCAAGAATGGGGAGAGAGGTTCTAAAGCACTATCATGGCAACTCAAGCCTGTTCTGGTTGCCCCCACCAAGTGGGCGAGGTCAGGAGAGCCTCACCTGTCTACTGACTTTTTTTTTTTTTTTTTTT